GGTCAGATCCTGGCCTTGTCCCAGCGTGTTGGGGAAGACAGATCAGACACAGCTGGGAGAAGGATCAGGGCTGTGATTAAGAGAAGTAGAGAGGGAGGAAGAGAAGGACTCTGAGGGTGAGGGGTTTCCCACTAGTATTTGAGTTAGGCTTTGAAAAATCAGGAAGACTGGGTAAGCAGTATTACACAGGTAATACAGCTTATTAGGGGGGGTGCCTGGGTGGCTCAGTTGTTAAGCATCTGCCTTCGGCTCAGGTCATGATCCCAGGGTCCTGGGATGGAGCCCCCCATCCGGCTCCCTGCTCAGCGGGGAGTCTGCTTCTCCCTCTCCCACTCCCCCTGCTTGTGTTCCCTCTCTCGCTGTCTCTCTGTCAAATAAATAAATTTAAAAAAATCTTAAAGAAATATATATAGCTTATTAGGGCATGGGGAATACTCTGGTCATAGCTTGATTTTAAAGGTTGAGGAAGGGGCACGGTGCCTGGGTGGCTCAGTCAGTTAAGCTACGGACTCTTGATTTCAGCTCAAGTCATGCTCTCAGGGTCCTGGGATCAAGCCCTACATCGGGCTTCACACTCAGCAGGGAGCCTGCTTGAGGATTCTCTCTCCCTCTCCTGCCCCTCCCCTTGCTCATGCTCGCTCTCTCTCAAATAGATAAATACATCTTAAAAAAAAAAAAGTCTGAGGTACTAAGTATAGACAGATCAATTAGAAAGGTAGAGAAGCACTTCTGGAAGCAAAGCTTAGCGAGAAACAGCTTTGAGGCATTCATTTCATTCAAATCAAGCGCTGTTTCAGGTTAGGTATATTGGCTCATACTACTACCAACTCCATTTTACAAATTAGGAAACTGAGGGTCTCAGCAGTTACACACTTGTCCAAGGTCACACAACTCAAATATGCTAGTTTGGGCATTTGAACCTGGGGAGTCCTAACACCAGATCCAGCTTCTGAATGACGACTCTACACTGATTGGGGACCGGCAGCAAATGGAGACTACGATGGCCCTTTTCCCCTGTGCCTCGTCTCCTCGCACTTTCCGGAGAGAAAGTCCGCTATTAGACATCTAAGCCAATCAGCATTCAGGAAGGGGGCGGGCCCCAGTGGGCCTCACAGCTAATTGGTGGGTGGGAGGGGTCCAAGGACAAATGAAAGAGGTTTCTGAAAGTAAGGCTGGAATGGGCGGGACTATAACCGGCACTCTGTGCCTCGTGCCCACATCACTGGAGCAGGAAGCCAAAGGGCGTGGGAGGGACACACGCATGCGCGTTGTGCACAGGAGGGCCAACGTGAGGCCCGGAAGAGACCCCGGTCCGTCGTGAGCTAGGGTTACCGCGGAAAAGAAGCCACTGCATCCCACAGCCACGTGGGGTGGGTGTGGGGCGGGGTTCGTTGGTCCAGGAGAAGGTGAGGTGCTCCACGCCCTGCCCCCACCGACCGTACCCCCCTCCCTAACCTCAACTGCCCACCCTTGCCTGGTCTCCTACCCTAGGCCACCTCGCTCCCGTGACTAGGCCCCAGTTCCTGGTAGCTCTGCCGTTGCCCTTTCTGCTTTCCCGAGGTCTTCTCAGCCTCTCCAACTTCTTTTCTGCCGTTTCTCTCTTCTGCCTTTCTCCCTCTGCCATCTCTTTCTGCATTCTACAATACTTCCTCTATCCCTACATTTCTCCTCTGTCCACAATCCCTTTCTGGTTCCCCAGATCCCTGTGGTCTCATGATCCCGTCCCCACCCCCCATCTTTTAGCTGTTTCCTCACGTCCCTGTACCCTGTAGCCCTTTGTCTATTCCCTGACAAATCTTCCCATTGACCATGACTCCCTTGACCCCACCCAACCCCTATGACTCCTTACCTGACCAAGCCTTTGCCAGTCGCTCCCTCCCCACTACCTTACTTCCATCTCGTCTCCGTAAATAGTATTTCCACCTCAGCCCAAACCATCTCCTCTTCTCACCATTCACTTTTAGTCCCTGACTTACCTGCATATGGTTGACCATCCTAGCTTTCTCTTCCAGGACACTATGGACCCCCGAGGGCCAGCCCCCCAGCCTTTCCAGAGGCCTGAGAAACCTGGTCGTGTCCGCCGTCGGAAGACCAGGCGGGAGCGCAACAAGGCCCTGATGGGCAGCCGCCGGCCATTGACCCGTCAGGATCCTCCTGTGACCAGTCAGGATTCCTCTGTGGCCCCTACTGCTCCCAAGCTTGTGGTCATAACCCAGGGCCGGCTGAGCCGGGAGCACCGGGGTCTCTTCAACCATGAGGTGAAATCTCTGGACGTGGCACGGCTGCTTAGCTGTGAGTCCCTGGAGCCAGGCACCCCTTCAGTGCCCACCAAACCCTCCCCAAGCCCAAGGCGGGCCCAAGAACCGGCCCCGCAGTCAAGGGGCAAGGAGAACCAGGTGCCTAGAGGCTCTGGCCCAGGCCCACCCAGTCCCCCAGAGCTCCCTGGCTTGGGGCAGCTGCTGGAGGAGCTGCAGTGCCAGCTGATTCTGCCACAGGCCTTCCCCAGGAGGAACCTAGTGCAAGAAGCCAGGGATGCCATTGTGAACACCTTACAGGCCTGCCATGGCTGTGTGCCCGACCTCACCGTGGTGCTCCGTGGCTGCCAGCCACCCTTACCAGGTGAGCCTGCCTCCTGCTCCCTGTACTCCCCTTCTTGTCTGCTCTGGCTCAGCTGTCCCCCATGCTTTTTTCCTTTGTGTCAGGGACCAAGCCTGGGGGCCCTGAAAGCCGAAGAATGACACCCTCCTGGATCGACAGCCCTGAGCCGGCCCCAGGGGAGGGGAGGCAGAGGAGGCAACAGAGGACAAAGGAGCTCACCTTTGCCATGCCTCACACCTCCAGCACTCCCATGGTGCACAGGGTGAGCCTGGCACCGCCAAAAGGTCCCTGGCCACCCCCCTTGCCCTTGTTGCCTTCGCCATCCGGGGCAGCCTGGGGCCCCCCAACAGCCTTTGACCTGCTGAAAAGCATCTGGCTGGTAGCCACACCGCCCCCTCCGCGGCCCTGGGGGGTCGGGCCCCAACAGCCCGTGCCTCAGCCACCATCACCCTTGTTGCCCAGAACCTCTGCCCTGGATTGGAGCCCCAGCCCCCCTGCCCCACTGCCCAGTCTCTCCTGGGTGGTGGCCCAGAGCAGTCCAGAGGCCTGGTCCTTTCCACCCATGAGACTGTACTGAGGGGGCGGAGGCTGGGCTGGGGGCACTCCTAATCACCTCAATAAAGTACCTTCTACATGGTCCTATTGATTTTCAGTGAGTGGCTGACCCAGGACAGCAGCTTTGCTTTGTTCTGAGTTCTGGGTCCAAGAGGGAGGGGAAGATACTGTCACTTGTCACCTTCCTGGGGTTTGAGGCACCAGGGGGCTGGGGAAACCTGGGGCTTTAGTCAGTCCCACACATTCAGCCACTGAAGCCAACTATGTGCCGGGAGTGCAAGGAGGGAGTGATGATCCTGCCCTGGTGATGAGGGAGTTATTCAGAAAGGAGCAGACGTAGACTTTTACACATTTTAAGATTAGTAAAAACTTACTAGTAGAGGAAGAAAAGAACCATCTCAGGCAATCCTAGAAATGCTGTTCTGTGGGACAGTATGTGCATATAGTCCATATCCCTCGGCTGTCCTGGGACCTAGAGCGAGTCACGTCACATCCAGGCCCTGCCCTTGATGGGCTCCTGGTCCAGCGGGCACAGGAACTGTGTTTGCAGGATCACAACAGGAGTGGCAGAAGAGGCCTGGAGCTGCCCCACAGACTTTTTACTTCGGCCCAAGATATATTTTACATTTTTGAATTAATTGCCTACTATTACAAATCAGTTTGCTTTAAAACAAAAGCAAAACAAACAAACAAAAAAAGCCTAACACATTTCTGGCTTCTCTGGAAAAAAAAAGAAAGAAAAAGAAAAAGAAAGAAAGAAAGAAAGAAAAAGAAAAGATCTGGCAGCAGACCTACTATCCCTTCTGGCAACAACTGGCTCAAGCCAAGTAGCAGAGGCCGCCTTTTCACGGGGCTCACACTCTCTCGCACTGAAATGTTTCATGCACTTATGTTTCCTGCTTGGCCCCTGGCTTAGAAAGTTTTTTAAAATGATATTTTGAGGAGCAACACATTTTTTGCAGAGGAGGGGGAGGAACGAAACTAGAAATGTTTGTTGGAATCTGATCAGGAAAATGAAGCTGAGGGACTTGGATGCTACTCTCTAAAGCCTTTCCAGGGATCCTCATTGCCCACTGGGAAACCATAAGGTTGGAACCAGCTGGTAGGGGACTGAACTGGGAGATTACAGGACTTGGCTGAGGTCTAATGAGAAAGTGGCAATGTTGGGTTTTGAACCCAGGTAGTTGATTTCAGTCTACTCTGGACTTCTCACAACACCACCTCTTCTGAGAGGCAGCAAGCCGGTTTCACACCCCAGGGAGCAGTGACTGGACAGGGTCAGGTGATGGAGTGGAGTGGTTGTGGCCCAGGGTTGTGCCATCTCCATGTTTTGTGACCCAGGACAAGTGGTTTTCCCTCTCCCGCCTCTGTGTCTCTGTGGGCACTTCACAGAGTCCACAGGATCTTGGGTGGACACAGCTGGGGATGGCTGTCATGCGGGGCGGGGATGAGCAACAAAAGAGCAGTTTGGGGACTAAATTCGGGGGAGGTCAGGACAGAGCTGGGGTCTATGGTTTGGGGGGTCATCCCGAGTTGGCAGTCTGGAGGAGGCGGCACGGCTTGGGGGAATGGGAGTTCAGTGTAGGACACGGGGAGCCAGAGGTGTCAGGGACACTCTCAGAGGGGAGGACTTAGGCTGGGGCGGGGTGGAGGGGCGTCCTCTCTCACACTGATTGGGAAGGCGGCAGGCCAGGCCATCCCGGAGGAGGGGGCGGGGAGCGCGGCGGCCGGCGGCCCCTTTAATCGGGGGCGCGCGCTGGCCGGCCCGCGCGCTCTCGCCGCCGTCGCCCGGCCGGAGCGGGAGTCGGAGCGGAGCTGGGGCCGGGGCCGGGGCCGTAGCGGGCGGAATGGAGCCCCCGCGAGCGGCCGCTCTGCGCCTCCTGCTGCTGCCGCCGCTGCTGCTCCTGCTCCTGCCACTGCCCCCCCGCGTCCGGGCCAAGTACGTGCGGGGCAACCTCAGCTCCAAGGAGGTGAGCGCGCTGGGCCCTCCCCTGCCACCCGCCGGGCCCCCTGGGATCCGAGGGAAGGGAGGGAGGAGGGTGCCGCCCCGCCCCCTGCCGCCCTTCCCGGGGGGCCCCGGGGGGCGGGGGGGGGGGGGGGGGGGGGGAAGGGGGGGGGGGGTTGGGGGGGGGGGGGGACTGGGTCAGTGTTGAGGCTGAGAGGGGCTGTGGATTCGAGAAGAGACTTGGGGGTTGTAGGAGGGACATTGAGGTCAGAGCTGGGCGGGGAGGAGGGCCTGGTTGGGAGAGTCGGAGTTTGGGGTGGGGGTTGGGCGGGGGGGGGGCGGGGGACGCCGAGGTGGTGCTGAAGGGACAGCACTTTTCACTCCGCGGAGAGTCTTGAGTTCACGCTCCTGCTCAGGGCCCGGAGAGGGCCCCAGCATGAGATGGTCTCTGGGACCCCTCTGGGGGGCATGTGTGTGGATAACCCTGGGGGGTGGCAGTCAGATGGTATCTGGGACTGAACGTGGCCTGGGTGGGTATCTGGCCCTCCAGGATCTTTCTCAGGGCACTCGGAAAATGGGACAAGTGTTTGAGGGGAGAAGAAACTTGAGGGGGTGTGGGGGGGCTTCTGAGGCAAGAATCCTGGCCCCAAAGCGAAGGGATCACAGAAGAATTTGGGATGTAACTTCGTCCTCTTATGCTTCTTGGGAAACCAGGTACCCAAGGGTAGGGAAGGAAAGTTGGGGGCCCGTGGAGTCGAGGAGAGTTTTCAAAGGACTCAGCAGGACTGGGCCCCTTTTTCAGGACTGGCTGTTCCTGACGAGATTTTGCTTTCTTTCGGATTATGGCCGACTGGACTTCCGTTTCCGATACCCTGAGGTGAGCCTTCCTTAACTAGTCTCTATGCTGAGGCTGGATACTCCCTTGGCCTCCCAAGGCAAGGGCCACCCCAGCTCTCTGCACTCCCCCAAACTTCAAAATCTCTGGGTTTGCAGGCCAAGTGCTGTCAGAACATTCTCCTCTATTTCGACGACCCATCCCAGTGGCCAGCCGTGTACAAGGCAGGGGACAAGGTGAAGGCTGTGAGAAGGGTGTATGGGCGGAGAGGGGGGAAGGTCGAGGCTGGCCAGGGGGTGACCATGGCCCTGCCTTCCCCAGGACTGCCTGGCCAAGGAGTCAGTGATCAGGCCCGAGAACAACCAGGTCATCAACCTCACCACCCAGTACGCCTGGTCAGGCTGTCAGGTATGGGCCCAGTCTGGGGGAGTGGGCAGGTGCTGAAGGCCGAGGGCCTGGGGGCTGCACAGACAGGCTTCAGCCTTCTTCTTGTTTCTCCCCAGGTAGTGTCAGAGGAGGGAACCCGTTACCTGAGCTGCTCCAGCGGCCGAAGCTTCCGCTCCGTGCGCGAAAGGTGGTGGTACATCGCACTCAGCAAGTGTGGGGTAAGGGGCTGGGACGGCCGCCGGGGCCTTCTCCTCCTAGCCTTCCTGCTGATCCCCTGCCTGCCCAGGCCCCCCCTCACCCCTTAGGCCTCCACACTCTCCACAGGGAGATGGGCTGCAGCTGGAGTACGAGATGGTCCTCACCAACGGCAAGTCCTTCTGGACGCGGCATTTCTCGGCTGATGAGTTCGGTGAGCATATGGGGACCCAGAAGCCAGGATCTTTGTGAGGAATCCCCAGCCGGACTGAACCATTTCCTCTTCCACCAAATCGGCAGGGATCCTGGAGACAGATGTGACTTTCCTCCTCATCTTCATCCTCATCTTCTTCCTCTCCTGTTACTTTGGATGTGAGTCCAGCACATGGTGGTAGTGGTGGGGTTAGGAGTTACGGGGGGCAGGGGTGGGGGAGGTGAGCTACTCTCCCTTCCTGCCGGTGAACCCCCTTCCCCTGCCTATCTTCTAGATTTGCTGAAAGGTCGTCAGTTGCTCCACACAACTTATAAAATGTTCATGGCTGCAGCAGGAGTGGAGGGTGAGGTTTGGAGTAGCTCAA